GGTTTGTTTCGTTTTCACTTGACCCTTGCCTGTGTGCACGAGCGCAAATCAGAGGCAGGAAACGATGACGCAGTCGTGAATAACGAGTACACGAGAGGAACCGGAAATCATTTGCAACGATAAACCTATGGGAGCATTAATGTTACTGATGCACATTTTCGAAAGTAATTGGAACTCGTGAGAAACCAGCGGGAAAGATATGATTTCGCGTACATTTCGCTAATTGACGTAAAAAGACATGTAGATTGGCTACTGGTAATTAAGATAATATATAATTATAAATTAATATAACTTGATATATACTGTTTTCGAAAAGTACGATTTCTCTAAGAAAATGCCTAGCGATGCAATATAAAATTATAAAATCTTAAAAGTTTATCACAAGCTCTGAATAAAAAAGCAACATTATTATAAATTATATAATATAAAATAAAAATAGATAAATAAATGCATTCCAAAAAAATTGTCCTTTTTTGCTGAGAATAACTACGATAAGATGAAGAAAATATTATATTATTACGTCATTTGCGAAAGTGTCAGAAATTGAAAAACGCAACTTCTCAAAAAACGCGAGAAATTGATTAGCAACTTCTCAAAGAGAAAAATTGTAAGTATATCGGCGAAACAAATGGAATAAATTTCCTAAAAACTATGATAGATTGAATTAAATGAAAGATCTCTCACTATGCAATTGTCCGAGGCGCTGCTGCGAAAATTCCGTATCTCCTGCAGACTTCCCCAAGGTCGAGGCTTGTCAGACTTGCCAGAATATGAATGACAGTAAGGTTGCCGGGCGTACTCCATGCTGGAATTTATATCCTCCAAGCTGTGCACTAGCGATTTTGTGACCTGGCCACAGTATACCTTCGGACTGAGCTTGTTCGTAGTATCCATGAGGCGCTTTAATCCGTCCGTCGACGCCAATTTAGACGATTCCGCGGCGTCCTCGATGCCGTCGAGCAATGCTGTGGTGCAAACAGACGCGAGGGATCCAACGGACGTACTGGCCAACATGGTACGTGCCGTCGCAGCAGGGGCAGATGTTCCAGCGCAGGTGGTGGTCGTACCTTCCCCACTCCCCGCCACGTGCCGCATCTCTGTGAAAAGCGCATTTCGTAGTCCCCACCATCGCCACTGCTACATTCGCGCTTGTTAAGTTCAAAGTTAAACGAATTCTACCCCAATTGTATCCCATTTCAGATAGATACAGTTGAAGAAGAAAGAAAAACGGGATCCTAAAATTATGCGCAATTTTTGCCGCATCACATTTTGGAGTATCAAATCGAATTACCTTTAGAAGGATCGAATTTTAGTTCTTCGCTCCACAATCTGGCCTCCGAGGTCGCGCGAATTGTCAATCGGTGTCCCGCAGCCTCACTGACAGATTCTTTGGATAATCGCGCGCTTACATTCTGCAAATGAATTATCCGTGAGTCAGAACGGTGGAATATTATATTACAGAATGAAATAAGTGACAAAGCACTTTTAATATTTCATACATTCGATTATTTTAAGATACACCTCTACACGCTCCCGAAGTTTTGCGATTTAATTTGGAAACACCCTGTATATATGTATATAGAAAAACAATAAATTATATTTTTTAATTATTAAATGTATCTCTAATAAGTATGTAGAATATCAAGATGTTTGTATGTTTCAGAATGTGCTAAATTTATGCTCAAATTATAAACAAATTTGGTTGAACAAAAAAATTTGCGTTCTCATTATTTTTGCCTTCTCCAATTTAGCTTAATAATAATTTAAAGCCTTGTTGCGTTGATAAAAAAATGACACATCTTCGGACATATTTTAAAATTAGCACCTTTTCAGAACATTTTTAATATTCTGAATTAGAACATTTTAATTAAGATAGTAAAAATGCATAACTTTACTTTCTTTCCAATTATACTTTAAATATTCAATTATATGTATTCTTTAAAACTATGTCATGAATTTTCCAAATTCAAACATTGCAACTTTAATGTTAATTGTTTATGTAGCTTTTCTATCAACGCTATTTTTAGAGTCACTTAGGTCGCGGAAGGTAAATGTACAGGTTTTAGACATAAAATTTATAAAATAGAGAGATAGGATATTAACATTAATCTAAATTTAGAAAGTACCCTATATTGCATATTGGAGTATTGCCTCCTTCGTTCGCAATCATTCGCCAGATTTTTACTCGAGCAGCTGCCATAATCATCCTTAAAACCAATTCCGGAGTCACTGTTGCTCGAATGAGCAGTCGACGTGCTAATGTTGCTCGGTTGAGGAGAAGCGGTATCCAAGCGTATGCGTCCTTCATTGTAAGGATTTGTGCAATTCTCCCCATTCGTGCAATCGGATATATACAATGTCTGTATGGCACCGATAAGGCTCGTACAACTGTCAGGAAACTCTTGGCAGACGTTTAACTCTGATGATTTTGTACACATAAATCCGAACACATTACATGCACTGGAATGCACTTCATGATCGATTAACTTGTAATAAATAGTGAAAACGTGACACGAGTTCGAGACAATATCGTCTGTGTTCCTCATGGACTTAGTTAATATTCCAAAATACTGTTTGTCTTGCTCGGAAAAGGAGTTACAGAATATTATTCGATACGAAGGGTATTCGGCGATAATGCGATTCTCCGAATTGGTGAGTTTAATATTGGCAACGTGAATGGTGAGAAGAACAGTAGTAGGATTTCGCTTCTCGGCTTTCAGTCTTTTAATGCATTTTCTCAAAACCTGCAACAAGAACAAGCAAAAGTTTATATTTTTTGTTATTATTTCTACATTATATATATTTTATACAAAATGAATATCACAGCAATATGCTCACTACATTAAATTGAGGCAATTAAATCATTTAGATTTACAACCATTCAAATGTTAACCCTATTGGTATATTCAGATCTATTTGACCGAAAATGTAATTTATTTTCTCACTAATATTTAAAAAAAACTTGTTTCTCTACTATTTGATGATTTTGTTAATGTAAAATTTTTTCCTGTGAAAATATATTTATTTCTTAGAGCTTTTTTAATGATGACCCAAACAATATGATTGTATAGAACATATGAACAGACCAGTAGGGTTAATCAACAGATTAATATAAATTCATTCTAGATGTATCAGAAATGTACCTGCATCATAGAGGACGGATGCAACTGATTCGGTATATCGATAGTACCGAGATAACCAACGACCGTTCTGTGCACGATCTTTTCAGAGTCGCGCTTGTGAGACGCCGGTGGTGGTGGCAATGGGAGCGGACTCGTCATATTCCAGCGATAATGCAAGCCAGAATAATTATACTGATCTTTAGCATCAGGCATTGCTAGGCCAGCCGGGACTGTATGGAACATCGCGCCACTCTGTAAATCCCTGACCACCTTGGCCGCCCTGCATTGCAACTGCAAAGCACTTGCATTAGCAGTCCGTGGCTTGTGTGCATACTTGGGCTTGGATCTAACGGTGGCCAAGCCCTCCTCGTCCGAGGAGTCGGAGTAATAATTCTCAGCGATCTGCAGTCTTAGGATGCCCTTGGAGCTTCCAATCAGCTGCACCACGTCATCGTGTGGTACCTTGCTGACGTTGTGACCGTTGACGGCAACCAGGTAGTCGCCAGCGCGCAGACCAGCGTCCTCCGCTGGACTGCCCTGCACGATGCAGCTGAGTATGCACGGCTGCTGACCTGATATCGTAAAACCGAAGCCTTTCGCGCCACGGACCACCTCGACCGCCCTCACTCCATAATTCACTCGCTTCTTCTTCCGCCTGTTCTGATGCATGTCTGCCTACCTGTCGCACGTGGGCCTCGCAACGTCACGAAGGGTCTCCGGGGAGGAGTACGTCACGGTGGCTCGCTGACTTCATAATTCGTGACCTCACGCCTCCACAATGATCATCCTCCTCTATGACGTTCCTTTACGATTTCCCTTGCTTATAACTTTGATTATAGACTCCCTAGGAGTCTAGAACCAATTCCTTTTCCTTTAGTGAGGGACCTCCTAGAAGAAGGTGCTCCGTAACGACACAACGAACTGTCACTTATGTGGCACTACTTCTGACGCTCGGGACCTCGCTGATACGCCCACTCCTATTCACGGAAATCATTCGTGGATCATTTGATAGATTAATCCCGAGTCTCGATGGAAATGTCGTTCGAAACGAGCACCCTAGACCCACCTGGACGTTCGCCACTGTTCGCCACTTTACGTTACTCGTCAGCCGAACCTCGCTAAAAGCAAACTCTACGAGCGGATGTTTTGGAATGCGTCCATCGAGAAGGCTAGAGAAAGGTAATCGACCTTGTGGCAAATAGCTTAGCCCGAGGTGGCTCGCCGTCGTCATAGCGAGTGATTGGCTGTAGACGAAGAAGTTCTGGACATTTCACGCTTTCCTTACCGGCGGCCAATCAACGTTCTTGACGCTTTGGGTCTGTTCGTTTCATCCGCCTCACACAGCAATCTGTTCATGTTTTAAATAAACGATAAATAATAAATGAACGCTATTTTATACATAATAAAAATGTATTAGTCTTCTCGAGTTTATAATAAATTCACTAGTTTTATTATGAAAACGCAGAACACCGTAACTTTTAAATTAAAATTATTTTGAGGTAATTTCTAAACGACTAAAAAACACGATCTATTTTCTCTCCTGAAATTTGGCCAAAAGCCTCCGATTCATTCCAAGTACAAATATATTTCCTATTTATAATCGTTTTCGAACTTTAATTAAAAAAAGATCTCATAAATATTTCTGATTTTCTTGTAATTTTGTAAATTTATGTATTTTTATGCGTAGAATATATTTTGAGGGAAAAAATTGTCGCTCAAATTTCATTTTTTTAAAAATAATTTTATCTTTTTATTTTAATATATAAATCTAGACGATATAGATTCGCAAAACAAACTCGCAATCGATGGTCAAAAAACGCTCTATCTTTCTTATCTTATCAAAAAAAGACACTGTCGTTCCATCCGATACTTCACTGTTTATCGCGATCGGCACATTTCGGCGTTATCGGCCTTCATTTGTTTCGCTCTTATGAAGTGTATATATATCGCTGTCCCAACATCCGTAAAGGCGCAGAATTAATATTCGACTCGAACTGACCCGATCGCTAGACTGCCCCGAGTACGTCCGCTGGAAAGTCACCGGCTAACATATAATCGGCGGCCGATAACGACCTGTTACATAAATCGCTATCAAGCGAGAGAGAGAGGTAAACGCGATTCCAGTACATTCCACCAGGATCACCGTCTACCGGGGGTCATCCTTCGTTCTCTAATTCTGTTTTGATCTATTCTTTATTTGCATAAATCGTATATCGGCGAGCGCGCGTACCGGACATGTCTCTGTGCCTTCTTGTCTCAAGGGCTTCGAGTAATGTCGCCTGCGATTAAATCTGCAATTAGCTGTGAATTACAACATGCTCGCGCGAAGAATCCGGTTTGCGCGGTTGGGAACGGGAATCGAGGCTTCGAGAGAGCTCCCGTCACTCGTCCGCGAATCGTATTTACTGCGAATGGTCGACACTTGGCTTACGAGAAAATGGTGCTGCGTCACGGAATTTGCGTCGCGATTCTCTGTTTGGGATGTTTGGGTATTAAACGCGTCCCGATTCCGCTCGATTCCCGTTCGCTTCCCGGCAAAAGACATTTGGTAGCGCAATGGACCGTGTTTTGATTGTTCGTAAGAGTTATTTACATCACTGCGTGTAAACACATTGTCCTACCAAGTGTCCCCTTGATTCCTCGTTCTGTCATCTCTTTAGCGACGTTTAATAAATTAACGGATTTTACTTCGCAGGAATCACATCAGTAGGAACACGTCTACTGTCATCCATGGCTAAGTGTCTCGAGACTTACTCAGTTGTCCCAGACGTGGTGCCGACGGTACCCACCAACATCCTGAATGTAACTTATCCCAGTAATGTTATCGTTCAGATCGGCATAGTGCTCACTCCAACACAGGTCAGGGATGTGCCTCAAGTTCAGTGGGAGGCAGAGAAAAATGCATTTTATACTTTATGCATGACTGGTTTGTAATGTTTACAGCCTATTTTTCATTATAAACTGAAATGAAAACAGTCTATAATTTTTTTTAAGATTTAAGTATCTTTGTTGCATTTAAAGTTGCAAAATTTTTAATTTTGATTTTTTATTTTTTTCTGTAAGTTATAATAACACAGGACCACAAAAAATTTTTAAAGAGAAACATAAATTAAAGTAGGTGTTTCTTGTAGATTTTGAATCACTGAATCTGAATTAGTAAGTCGTTTTGCTCCATCATGTCCAGGTTTTGCCTAATCGAGGAAAATGATGAAAAATCTGAAAATTGAAACATGAGGAAAAAAACAAAATAGATGTGACATTAAAATCGATATAAAGTACTACTATGCAACAGTCAGGGGATTTCATGGAAGAATTTGTCAATTTTAAAAATGGATATTTTAATTGTTATTTTATTTTCTAAAAGTAACAAATAAAATATCCATTTCTGAAATTGAAAAAATCTTTCATGACTCATGCAGATCACCTGATTGTTGCATAACGGTACACCGATTTGTTTTATAAATTTTGTTAGCGATTCTGTGATAATTGTAGATAATAAAAGGTGTTTATATTATTTTAAGTAAATTAGAAAAAAGTCATTCTGACAGAAATAATACTAATGTACATTTAAAGTTATGTTTAAAGAAGCTCTTGTTTCACTCTCTTGAGTTCTTCAATATTAATATAATAGTTGATAATTTGATAAAAGTTATTCTCAGCTTTGTGCTTTATAGCATATTCTTTAAACAGATCCTGACGCTCCAAGCAGACAGAATCCTACAAATCGTGAATGGCATCACTGGCTAGTAGGCAATATTCCTGAATCGAATGTGAGTGAAGGAGAAGTTCTTTCTGAATACATTGGTGCTGGACCTCCGCAGGGTACGGGTCTCCACCGATATGTATTCTTGTTGTACAAACAGCCTAAAGAGCTCACTTTTGACGAGAGGCGCTTGACCAATCGAAGTAGTGACAATCGTGCCAGCTTCTCCATCAAAGGATTTGCGGCGAAATATGGACTCGGCAATCCAATTGCCGGTAATATGTTCCAGGCGGAATATGATTATTATGTACCGACTCTCTATGCGCAGCTTTCAGCTAGATCAGATTAATTCTGTACATGCATCAATAATATATGATCAATTACAATATGATACACATGTATTATACATAATGATGTATATCCAACTGTCTATTGAATAAATACACATCAAATACTTTTCAATTAACGTTTGTGTCTATTGTAGTTAAGGAAAAGACAAATAAATCTTTCGTTTTAAGCTTAATTTACTTATAAATTCAAAATCAAATTCTTAAATTTTCTAGAACATACACCGTCACCTGTGATACTAGTTCGAATTCTTAATATCTTATACAATTCGTTATCATAAATGCACGCTTTACATAAAATTAAAGTAAAAAAAATAACCGAAAGTACCAACAAAAATTTAGTAACGATTAAAAGTTTCTATGCCAACGTTAAATGTATTTATATAAAAATTATCTTTTAATTTCCCCAAAGAAAAATTACATTCAATTTTTTTTCTATTTTCGTTATACAGATGATATGTATATATCTTCATACATATTGCAATGAAATAATACATATTGAAATGAATTAATCAAGTTAATCTCGTGATCTATTTTGGTACAATAAATTTTCTCAGGAAGATTTTAATCACTAACGCTCTGTGCTTGCATTAGCAATAAATACGCGATATTGGAAAGGATTGGCCTTCTAGCACGCAAGTTGGTGGGGATACATCTTAAAACGTTCCTTCGCTCACTAGTCTCGTTAATATTGCTGTTGCAGCTTGTTGGAAAGTGTCTCTAAAAATGAAGTATTTGATAACAGGTTCGTCAGTCACGGTTCTATTGTTTTTTATTAATTTTATAAAGAAAATCGTAATGTTTATAAGTCATTTTAGTATTTGAGTGAATGATATGTGATGTACTTTTTCATATCATTTTTTATATTCACGTGATAATTTTATATAATTTTTCAGGAATTTTTTTGTGTGCTATTAGTTTTTCATTAGGCGATGTAGAATCGGAATTTAAAAAGGTGAAAATCGAACCCGACATTATAGACAAAGCACCAATTGAAAAAATCGAGGTACCTATATATTTGCAAGAGTATTCGCACTGACATTTTTATTGTGTAGCTAAGATATTAAGTATTAAGTTAATGTATTTCCTACATTTATATTGAAAAAAATGATATTTATTAGCAAGACCTTTTTCTAAACATCTTACAACACAATATGTACCGCTATCTATAAATGATTTTGTATTACATAGGTAAAATATGGTAAGAAGATAGTCGATTTGGGAACCGAATTGACGCCAACTGAAACTCATGAGATACCAGAAATCCACTATAAACACGAAGGAGGAGTTCTGTATACGCTTGTCATGACGGGTGAGACTTGGAAAGTTTGAATGAATTAGTTGTAAAAATATTTAGATACATTTTTGCAAGGATACAGTGAGATCGTTTTGTTTTCTTGCTGCGAGAATTTCGTAAACCGCGAGACAGACAAATACGGATAAAGACGTGCTATTCTCGATGAGTTCAACTTTCACCGTCTCGGAAACCAGTTTTCTCTATCGCCACTACTTGATGGCGCGCGGATTCTCTGGCATACAATTGTTAAGTTAAGACTTATATAACGTATGCAAATATTTGAAAATTATTGCAATATGCGTTTTTAAAGTCATTAGAACTGTTAGTATACTTCCGATTTGTATGTTTCCAATCATTTCACAATTATCTCGGTAGTTATTTCTTTTTATATAAAATTCTTGCATATCACAACAGGTGTATCTTATTATAGATCCTGATGTACCAAGGAGGGGAGGATACAACCGAGAGTTCCGACACTGGCTCGTGGGAAATATACCGGAAGAGAACTTAGCTAAAGGTGAAATCCTAGCGGAGTACGTCGGTCCTGCGCCGCCGAAAAATACTGGAAAACACCGCTACGTATTTCTCATTTATAAACAAAATCAGGGCGCTATTACCTTCGATGAAAGAAGACTGAGCACTTGGTGAGCGAACGCGTTGACGACGCAGTATATCGTACAGCCCGATAGTTGATAACACGTTTTATCTCACCTGCTTACAGGGATGGAAGTCAACGAAAGAGGTTCTCCATAAAGAAATTTGCGGAAAAGTATAACTTGGAGGGTCCGATTGCTGGTAACTTTATGGTGGCGGAATACGACGACAATGTGCCTGCTTATCATAAGCGTTTGAGTCTTTAATCAAACGGTATTTAATTAATCTTTAAATATTTTCAAACCCTAAATATAAATATAAATTTCATATTATAATAATTTTAAATCTTGCACTACTCACATATATAAAATTTAATAGAATTATATTATATAAAGAGAGAGAGTGTCGTAAATTTGTGGTGTTATTTAATACAAGAAAATTGTAAATAAAATTATTACGACTAATTATTGATATTTAACTTTTAAGAAACCTTTTTTTGACAAATATTTTTTACGTATTTCTACAAAAATATAATTAGCAGTAAATTACGCAGAAATAAGTGAATTACTTACCAGCAGATAAAGATCATTTTCAAGAAATTCTATTCATCTTCATTGCTGTTGTTTTATTGTTATAAATATAAAAGGTACATGAGACATTCATTACGTTCGTATCCCCGAGGTCGTTACATGACGTTAATGCGCCTTTGAGGGCGTATCACTAGTAGTACATGTGAAATTCTTAATCTTATAAACTTATTTCCTACAATCGATTATTAAATACCTGCAGGTTTAGTGTTATGTTATACACGTTGACTAGAATATAATGAGCGTAATTCGTAATTGAAATTACGAATCTGATAAACGCCGTTGGCGCAATATCTTAAAGAGCAGAAGCTAACAATAAGTCGGGAAGCAGAAAGTTATTTCCATTACAGAAGAAATTACAGAAGTACAGGTGCAGCCTTTCTCCCTTTATATATCGCTTATACGGCGACATGGAAATTAAATACGTACATGTTGCCATTTCCACTGTCTCATAGGCCTTTAGAATATCGATAATGTATGTTTCAATCTAATCGAACATATAACACAACACTTCTCTCTCATACTCTCGCATAGTCCTCGAGAATACTCATCTTTCAAGCGAGTGCGCGTCACGTTGCTTCAAAATAAAATTGAAGAAACGCGATGTCTTATTACGAATATTTTTATCACACTATATTTGTGGACAGCGCAATATTTAATATAAATAAATCTTCTCGTCAATACTATAATAACGCGCTTTAATCAAATACCTTTTTTTCGCGAAATATATCTTTCACTAATTCACTTGCAGCTGCATAGCTTATGTCTTCTTATTTCGTATCAGTATAACGGGCATAAATAATTTACCAAATCGGCAAACTAAATATACCAAAAAAGAATTGCACTTTCTTCCAAAATAGCACCAATTTGAACTCACTATCGAAATGTTTTCTCTCATCTGCATGTGCAGTGTTACGTCTTGGCTCGAAGAAACGTTTATAAATATTCCTACTTGCGCAAGAAATATTCTGTTCGTGGCAGTGACAGCGATCTTACAATCGCCTTCGATCGTATCTGACAGCGACGATAATACGTTCGCGCAATTCGAAACTGATTCGTTACGACGGAGCTTTTTCTGTAGTCTTTGCATCATCCTACTGGACATCCTTAAACATTCCATTAGAACGGTATCGAATATACCTTTGGATTATCATGATAGAATTGCCGCTATAGATCTGATCATTCAGTAACTGGCAATTCGTATCACGATCTATGTATTCGAACCAATTATTATCAACATCAAAGTTTGTAGTTCTCAAGGCAAGTCCAGATCTGGAGATATGGTCATGTTCCAGCAAAGCTGATGATCTCGAACGTCTCCCCATCCACCGTTACCCTTGCGAAGTTTCGTCTTCTTTGCCGTTCCGGCGATTGTTAACGTTAATTGCGAAGGGAATAGATGATTGCGTGCCGCATTCAAGACGTTTTGGACCTTCGCTATCACTGCCGTCGATTCACAGTTATTCTTCTTATGATGCACTCCACTGTAAAAGTAAACATCCAATTAGAAGGGTGATAATTTTGGGTACTTTCCACTTAGTGACACAAGTCGACACAAATATCATTTTATCTTTGACATTTAATGAGTAACAAAGACCGAACGACATGTATCGAATTGTGCCATCAAATGGAAAGCATCCCTTAACATCGCATTAAAGCTCACGAATGATAAAAAGGAGATACGTGAAAGATGTCGCAGGGTAAAAGCTCAATTCTCATTTATGGGAAATAAGCGGAGAGATTTTTGATACTCGCCATTCTCCGATATGGAAGACTCTCGGAGCTCTCATTGTCATTGTGATCAATCCGGATTCAGCGCGAGGCGCTATTCCGGCGCCTCGACTGGACGGTACGCATGTTTGCGCGATATATTGCAGACTCCAGTCCCAGTTGTAATCGTCGTAGGAACAAAACTGTGCCGCGCATTTCCGTAGCTTGTTCCATGTGACACGATTGAACGCCATGCCCATATTGTGCTTGCTAGATATCCACGGAGTAACTTCCGCCTGTCCCAACAGAAGAAAGATCGTCGTTATCAAGTACTGATGTAAAATTTTCGCAATATCTTTTTCACATAAAATCTACTGAAGGAAATCTAATTCGAACTATGTGTCTACGACTAAAGCGAACAGTTGAGACAAAGTCAGAATTTTAGTCGTAAATATCTCCTACTGTATTCTATCAGACGAATCCAGAACTGCTATTTATTCTTGCCAAAGACACGACTTATGACTTCAGTCGTGCGTACGAAGGTATTTCGTACGCTCACAGTAATAACCGGACCGATTGTATTATGACTTTGTATCGTGCATGTGATGGTAATAAATGCTCGGAACATGCACTACTATCTGAAGGAAATGGAAATTCATCTATAGAGGCGTTCCACCTACTGCATTTAGCATGGTAAGAATATGCTAATATTGAAAGTTAAATTGATATGTTCACGGAGTTCGTATAAAATACACTATATTTTCTTTTTATAGAATAAAGAGCGGGTTTTCCCGGTTCTCTAATTCAACGTCAAGCAGCCGGAGCCACCAATCGATCGCCATGCAATGCGTCCTTTGTTGGCTGGATCGATGCGAGCCGGTGGAAGCGAGTCGTGCAAAATTTGACAAAGTTTACTGAGGAGGATGG